TTTATGACTTTCTTTTGTTAGAGATTAATTGATTACTATATTTAAAATTTAATTTGTTTATAAAGAAAAATTTATTTGATTAGGATTTAGATTAAATTTTTTTTTTTAAATATGAATGATTGGTCATTGTTAATTTTAACTATCACTCAACTAACTACAATAAATATTATTTTGATTTAAAAGCGATGATTACCTTCATCAGGATTAAAAATACTATTCAATTATTGTTTATTAACATTTTTAACTATTTAAGAAAATAATTATTGATAATTTAACTTAAATTAAATTATTTAAATTTAACTATTTAAGAAAATTACATTGGAATATTTCTTTTACAATACCGCAATAGACCATCTTCAAGTATTTTACAAGTATGTTACAATATTTGAAAATTGTTAGAAAAAAATAAACTACATTTTAGAACTTCATTCATTTTCAGACTAAATATAGTTTTCATCCATGGCTCATTCCAAAGCTTTAAAACAGAGACATAAAAAAATTCTAAATTTATAAACGTGAGAAATTTTTTTTTTAAGTAATAAGTATTTTTACGATGATTTATAAGTATAGAAAATTTTTTAATTTTAAAAAAATGCTTTATGATCTAAAATTAGAGATGGAAATTTGTAACAAAATATTTTTATATCCTACATCTTAGTGGTTTAATAAATTTAAGCAGACATATGTTCAATTTTGTCTTATATATATCCTGGTTAGGGTGGCTATTATAAACGAAATAAAGCTAGCTGCATCAAATTTGTTAATTAAGCATCTATATGCTATAATGCGAATCAACTGCAAATTAAGAATATAAGCAGTTATTTATACTATTAACAATCTGCACAAATCAGTCCTTTTAACAAATTGGAAAATAAATCAAATAGTTTCTCTTTTATGTTTTGCATTATTGTTATATATACATTTTTTGGTACACACATTACAACATTCTTTATATCCGTTATAATAAAATAAATTTATATTCTTTATTATAATTTCAAAAGAAAATCACTCATCATTATACGAAAATTACCAATTTGCATGCCATTTCATCATAAAACAATTATTTTTAATAAAAAAAAATAAAAATATTTTCATAAACCACCATTCAAAGAAACTCATAATATACGCAAGTTGTATGTACATGAAAAAAGAAAAGAAAATTTTAAAAATAGTAACAAAAAAAAACTACAAGTAACAAAAACATTTTAAATTTAGAATTTTTTTGTAAATAAAAAAGAAAAAAAAAACAAAAACCGCGAGTAAACATTGATGACGTCATTTATTAATACAAACGAGAAAAAAGTGTGAATAAACCTTTAAGCACTATAAATTTTACACATAAAGTGATAATAAAAGAAAGAGATAGATAATATTTGATAATAAATAGAAGTATAAGAGACAAAAAGAGGAAGTCAGGAAAGAAATTTTTTTTAACTTATAAAACTTCGAAAACACTAACATAAATTGGAGTAGGTCGACGTGCACGATGCGACTTATGACTTGTAGGAACCTCTAATGATTTAGTTGTTGATAAGCGAGATTTTGAACCGCTAACATCCAAAGATTTAATTGCATTAGATAAAAACATTTTGGTATTTTTTTTTATTTAATTTTATTTGAAATTGTTAATCACAACGATAGTCTTCTCTTTTTAATATTGAATCGTACTAAAATCAGGTGTTATACAACTTGGAAATAATCAAATAATTAAAAATATACGCGAAAATACGCGTTTTGTTCCGATCACGATATAAATTTATACTAAAAATTAAAATTTTATGAAATATATTTTTTTCACTATCAAGGTATCAACGTAAATAATTGGAATTCTCCATAATTATATTAGAAGAATATAAAAAGCAAGAAAAAAAATGATATTAAAGGAGAAAACAAAGGCCAATTCTTTTGTTTTTCCTCCCAAAAAACAAAATGTCTTGAGTAAAAATTCAAATAAATATTTTTACTCTTAACCCAAAGATAAAAAAAAATATTTGAAATTTTTCTTATTTTAAAATACTCTTTAAATTTATTATACAAATATTTTAGCACAAATTTTTTACTTGTTATGCGAATGATATTTATTTCATAATGCTTTTTAAACAAAACTTTCTTTATTCAGGACAAAATTAGATCCAGTCAGCGACTGATGTTTATAACACTAAGTAGTACGAAAATAGATCGAAAACTTTTTAGTTTATTTTAAAAAGTAATCAATCTTCTCATTCTTAAATTATATTTTTGTCATTAATAACGTTAGCCCATTAAGATATTGGTCTAAATACTGCATTAATCTAACATTATCTAAGTAATTAAAATTTCTCTAAAACATTAAATATATGCTTCTAGATTACTTTAAATTCATAAGTCAACAAAACGTACTGATACTATTCAGGCTCCATTGAATACATTCCTTCTAAGTGAAATCAATTTAGCCAAAAATACTGATTTGTAATTCTTTCTACAGAATTAATTGAATATCAATTATTTTGAAAAGTTCCTAAGGCTGTAGTGATTAATAAAATTTTTTTTTTGCTCATTTTCAATAATTTTTTGTCTAATATTTTTGAAATATTTATTTTTAGAGATATTAAATGAAGCATTTTTATATTTTATTTTTGTTTAAATATCGTTTAGAGACGCGTAAAATAAAATTATTATTAATAACTTTTAGAAATTTATACATTAAGTGACACCTAGAAAGCTTAAAATATGTGCGGCTAATTAGCAATTATTTTTATTGAATATTTTTTGTATGGCTATTTAAAATTAAGCTTTCAACCAAAAAAAAGCAGTGAAGGATCGTTTATTTTCTGATAGAAAACTCTAGATGTATTTTAAAACCCATTAGGACATGCATTGAAACAGAATATACTTTCTGATTATGAAATTCTAGAAATTTATACTTACAAACACACATATGTGATAATTTAATTAAACAGATTTTAATGTCTCCTGAACATTCTCAAAAATTTAAAGCTATGATACCGTTTGAAAAAAATATCTGGTTTTAAAATACCTATCTTATTTCATTAAAAAACCGTTTTTACTATACAATTTTACATTAGATAATTTAATTATTAAAACTATTTTAAAATTAATTAATAATACAAGCAAAAAATTTCAATACTTTTACTTTTAAATAAATTAAATTATAATAAACATATTTAACACGTATCTAGCAACCTAAAATACATTAACATAATTACGACTTAGTCAATGAAAAAGGAGAAAATGGAAATCAAGTAAACAATAGCTTTCGACACATGAAATAAAATTTACTTTTAATTTTTTCAAGCACAAAAGAACTACAAAAAGAAAAGGTTTATAAATATATAAGAAAAGGTTTATAAATGTATGTATGTACATTTATGATTGGGGCATTACTATAGTAATCATACACTGGCGCATATATCCTTCATTTCCTTTTAATACTCTTATAATTTCTATGCTTTGTTGCCTGTACAAATATCGTTACACCTTAAAAATCATGTAAATGTTAACCAAAAAATGTTTAACTTTAATTGTTGTAACATGAAAACTTTCACTAATAATACATTACAATATTTTTCCCAAACAACAAAAAATGTTTAAAAGTTAATATCCATGACAACTTGTTGAAAATGTTTGACGCCAAAACAAAAAATTATTAAAACAAATAAATAAAAGACAACATAAAAATTATTTAAACCAAAAACAGAAAACCAAAACTTTTCAATAACTACCAAGTAAAATTATAACAATAATAATTGTTGTGGGAAACAATTTTTTTTTGCTCATTTAGTGTTCTAAGGATTCTTCAATGTGAAACAAGATTTTCTTGAAAATTTAACGCAAACAAAAATATACAGAGTATGGATTTTCGTAAAATTCCAAAATTAAATCCGAATCGAGTTAATCGATGTTATTGTTATTCAAATTGTTGGTGTGATATGAACTCATATAATAAACCTGCACCGAGGACAATAACCAAATTATCACCCAAAACTATTACTAACCCAATTAATAAATTTATTAAAATACGTAATGAAAATGGACAGTTACGTCCAAAATGTGACCGTCTTCAATATTCTGGTTTAAAATCATTAAGCTCAAGTAGCTGCAGTTATAATAGCGGCAGTAAAACTAATACAAATCAAACTCGACGTTCTACTCCAGTATCAAAAATTTCAAATGTATCAAATTATAAAGATGATTTCATTAAAACTCCACCAAATAAATATTCTAACGATGGTACAAATTCACCATTTTATGCCATTAATCATACCGGCCAACGTGAATGGTATGAATTATCAAAAGAACAATTTTGGAGAGCGCAACAAGAATGTCTAACCAGAAATTTTCTTTTATCAGACTACTTTAATAATCCTGCCATATTTTTGACATCGTTGCAAGATGATCAAATTGCTGATTTGAACAAATTTCGTTTGAATAATGCCGAAGATTGTTTTAATGTTCTAAGTAAATATACACTCAATAAAAGACTTGGAATGTATAAAGAAGAAATTCCAATTGAACATGTTTGTGAATTTATTTTCAAAATAAATGGGAGAGGACTATTGGAACCGTCCACAGATAAATTGGAAAAATTGAATAGTGGACGCATTCGATGCCGAATCTGTGGTAAAGCAACTAATATAACAGATTCAAATGGGTTTTTACCAATCGGTAATAATAGTGAACAAAAAGTCCAAAAGATTGTTATTCAAGTCAACAATGTGAAAAGCAATCAACAATTCCAGCAAGGGAAAACAAAAATTCAAAAATGTCAAGGATTTCGAAGAAGAAAAATTAATGAACAAGGAAATAGTTTAGCATTAATTTATCAAAAAAGATATTAACTATATTCAATATTAAATTGTTTTTCTTTACTTTTTCCATAAAGAGCTTCATTTAAAAATTTTGACCATTGGTTTGATTCATTTTCGAGCCAAACTTTAATAAACTATGAAATAATTCTTGTGTATCTTTTCCTTACAAATTTTTTAAATAAAGAAACTTACATTAATTTCAAAAATCCTTCTTTTCAGATCAGATTCCGATTTGCGGTCTAATGGTTTATCAATTAGATCATAAATTCTCTTACATCCTTTTGCTACTAATTCATCAATATTAATTTCTTCATTGGAAACTTTTATTCCAATAGGGCTTGATTGTAAATCATTACGATCTTCTGAAATATCTTTTATCGCTTCCGCACTGGTTGATAATTTTGGAGTTCTGTTTCATAAAATTACAAAAATTATTCATTAAATTTTCGATTACATTTCAGTAAATATATGCTATAAAAATAAAATTGATATACATATGTATATATATCATACTGAAGGTAGATTCGCAAACGACTTACTTTGATTGTTGAACTTCACGGAATTTTTCACGTAAAATTGTTTGAGCTTTCAAAACAATTTGTGATAGTCCACCAGGTTTACCGTGAGTTTCTAAAACTAATGTATCACCCTGTGATATTAATGTAGCTGCATCAGGTGCAATTAATAATTTTAAATTTTCAATCACACTAAATAAAAAAAAAAAAAAGAAAATATGAATCAAAAAAAATTATAGAAACGATAAAAAAAAGTCTTAGTGTTATTTGAATTTTCACTTAACAATATTTCAAAAACAATCATTTTCATCCCAAGTTTATATATGCCATACATAATATGTTCACATATGTATGTATATTTTACGATCCGTTTGAGGTCGTAATGTCACTACTTCGACGTACGACTAATTATAAATAAGCATTTACGAGCACAACTTATAGAACCAAAATTATGACCATTAGCATTTTTAAATTTAAAAATGGATATACATATTATTTCACTATACACATTTAATTCTGTCTCATGGTATCAATTAGAAAAATTACAATGTATCTTAACAAAAGCATTTAATTCAAAGTGTTGTTTAAAACCATTTAACTTAAGTTAATTGTTTTTGAAAAGTAACTGAATGAAAAATGAAGTTAATTTTAATAATTGAATACCTTTCGTTATCGTTGCTGGCATCAATTTTCTCTTTGGTTGCTTCCAGCTTTCGTATCATATATTTAGCAGTTTTATCAAATTCCTGTACTCTTTGTTCCAAAGAGGTGGAACTTCTATAAAGCTCATAACGTGGCCACGTTAACGTTATATTCGAATTATCATGATTATCGTTATTACGACTACTACTACTACTATTGTTATTATTACCTCTATTAACACCGATATTAGTATTTAATGATGGGGATTGTGGTGCTGTTGTAAATTTAATATTTGAACTTTTTGATTTTGGTGTTTCAATACGACTCTAAAATAGATCAACAATAATTAAAATTATAATTTATATCATATCAATAAGTAAATATGCATGTTCGTTGTTAAATAATTCAGTTAAACAAATATAGTGGATAATAAAAAGTTACTACATGCATTTTTATTTTATCATAATATAATGTATTAATAAAATTTAATTAAGTTCATGTTAAAAAGTTTACTACACAATTTAATAATATGCAAATAATTAATATTATAACATTACCATATCACTATCTGATCCAGTTGGCATTTCAAATGAAAATCTGGGTATATCTTCATCATCAGAAAACACAAGCGGTTCATCTAAATTTTCTTCAGAATTATAAAAGCTATCACGCTCATTATTACCTTTCTCATTATTTTTCTTACTACTACTATTATTTTTATTGTTATTAATATTATTAATGCTATTATTACATAATTTAAGCCTCTTCGGTTTTTTTGGTGTTTTTGGACTTCGATGTACAGGTGTAAATGACGTTTCAATTGAATCATGTTCAGCTGATATTGGTGCAGCTACCAATTCATTTGAAACTTCCATAACTAAAACAAATTCATCATCTTCAGAATCTCTTAAAATATCTCGTTCGTTATCAGTACTTTGATGTTCCTTTTCATCATAACTAATACGTTGACGCTCAATTTTTAGAATACCGTCTTGATTATTACCCTCTCTCATTTCAATATCATTATTATTGTTATTGAAAGCCTCTTCTAATTCCTTCTCTGAATCATATTCAATTAAACTATTTTCTAAACTTGTTTTACTCCTGCTAGCAGCACCACCTTCCAATTTTATTGATGAATCTGTATCAGAATTACCATCAGATAGATCAACTGTTTCAACAAATTCCACCTCTAGAGTATTAACTGTTTCTAATAAAACAGTTTCCTGCTTTTTACTATTATCATTATCTTTTGCATCATTATCACTGTTCTCATCATTTTCTAATGTAGATGAATCTATTTGTACAACATTTGCCAAAACTGACATTTTATGATGTTGTAAATCTTTTTCGACTACTTCAACAATAGCAACATTCTGTTGTTGCTGCTGTTGTTGACGTTGCTGAACTGAATTCTCAATTTCTTTCGGATCAAATTTATTCTGTTGCATTTCCTGAATATTTTGCCCACTTGATATTTGTGAAAATAATGCACTCGATTCAGCTAAATGGAAGGTTTTTGGTAATAAATCTGGCATTACATTACCATTTTGATCGGAATCAGAATCAATGTTTTTGTCACAATCAGCATTTGATTCTGCATTTGATATTTGTGTTGAATCCGATTCCTTTGCTGGAATTTCATTATTTTCATTATAATTAGTTGTTGACGAAGCTGATAATCGATCGGGAGTTTTATTTGAATTCGAATCAACGGTTGATGAAGATGGAGTTCTAGCACGACGTTGCCTTACCGTATCGCTAACAATTACAATTTCAGTATCAGGATCCTGAGGATCTGTTATCGTTGTTGGAGTTTGTGGTGCTGTTCTTGTATTGATAGTATCCTATATATTTAGGTATCAATAATTTTTTATAAATTTTAAATTTTTTTTTATTTCTTTTATTTTGGTGTTTTTCATATGAATAAATTTTTTATTAAATGAAATGAAAACAGATTGAAAGGAAATGGAATGGTAACCCGTTAACCAAAATAAAAAAAAAAATTATCAATTTTAAATAAAATATTAGAAATTTTCGAAAGTTTACTAGGATATTTTTTTCTATTAAAATTATTATTTTACGAAAAATTTTGTATTACGAAAATTACTTTTATTAAGAGAACCATTGAAACAATCACCATCAATATTATAAATTTAAAGTACGTAATAAAAAAATTAAAAATAAAAATAAATAAAAAAAAATGTAGGACAAAATGAAAGAACAGCGAAGCCCAATGATGAAAATGTGTACAAAAAAAACATCCAATCTCCGGTAGGATCCATTCAACTGTACTTTATTTTTTATTTGCTAATTTTTTGACTGTGTTAAAGTTGTAAAATGTGTTAGAAAAAGGATGAATTTTTTTTTTTATTTTTTTCTGAAGTGTTTATTTTTTTCCTACTTGTGTTTTCCATAACCATTATATTTATATATATATATTTTTTTTTCTTTTTACATGTTCCTAAAAGGTTTTGTGGAGGGATGAATTTTTCAATATTTTTTTTCACTTTTCCAATTTTAAAATTACAAAAATAGCAAAGTAATGTAATGTTTTTTTAATGAACTTTATATACCCAGATTATCAAATGTTTTTTGAATTGCTTAACTAAAACTAAAAATATATGTCTATAAAAAGGTGAATTTTTCTAAAATAAAAAAATTAATTTAATGTTAGTAACAATTGTAAATATGCAATTTAAGATTAAATTTCACACTATTAATATAAAAATTAAATTTATTTACAGGTTAAGATTAAAATTGAGAAACAAAGGAAATAAAATTGAAATAAGTTCATTCTAATAAAAAGGCTCAACATGGAAGTTTGATTCGAAAATTATTTACAACTCAGAGTCAATCCTTTTCCAATTCTTATTTCATAAAAATAGGTATAAAAAAAATAAAATTGTGGAATTTAATTGAACTTAAACTTATGTGTGCATAGAAAATTAAAGGAAATGTTCTAAATATAACAATTTTTTTTAATACTTAATATTATTTTGATTGCGAAGCTGTGACTAACAAAAATTTATCTGTAAAATATCATGTTTTTCTAGTACATATTTTATTTTTCTAAATAATGTGATTGTATCAAAAATTTTATATGGGTAAATATTATACTAATTTTATAATTTTTGATAATCAGGTAATTTCAATAGTTTTCATATTTTATATAAAATAAATTGTATTTTGTATTTAACTTCATTTTATGTACATTTTGATTTGCATTTTAAAGCTTATATGTACTTTCAGATACTTTCACAGAAAATCTAAATAGAGATTCATGTTTACTTAATTAAACTTTAACTGAAATTCAATCACAAAATGTAAAAAAATTAATAAATAAATGATTAAGATAAAAAATAATCGACATTACTTTCAAAATATGAATGAACTTTTAGTAATATTAATGGTTTAACATACAAATGAATTTAAACATAAAAAACAAGCGATTTGTATTGTTTCTATCGTTATGCACTTATTGGTGAACACTTTTATTAGTAGTAATTGAATAACTAATATTTAAAACTATCTTTTTAATATTTAAATTGATTTAAGCATGAATGTTTATATTCTATTTGGTACATACATACATAACAAACACAAAATAACATGATTTACACATTTTATACAAAAAAAATGACCAAGGATGTTAAAAAAATTGCAGCTAAGTATTAGAGTACATTAAAGAAATCTTGTTCAACGTTTACATAATTAGATAAATCTACAAATAACTTTAGATATTTTATTGGGCAAACATAGTTTACATTCTAATTCTAACATTAAATATAGTGTGGTTGATTGAAATGAAAAAAAAATATGCAATTTATGTTAATGTCTTTCTTGCCTTTACAATTCCAATTACTTGAGTATGCAGCTCTTCAATAGCTGGATCTGATACATTTATTTGTTGCAAATCACTTTCCATCGTCCTAAAATTAATAAAATTTAGAAAAGAAAAAAAAAACATATTTTCTGAAATTCACCTTAATGTCTCCAATGAAATATTATCCAGATTCTGTAAAGTGCTTTTCATCTCATTTAATCGTTTAATAACATCAGCACTTGATAATTTAAAATATTTCTTTTTTAGCATATCAATTCTTTGTCGAACATCTTCCATATAGACTGGTTCACATGTTTCACTATATTTATCATAAATATCATCACATTTACCTAATGACTCTTCAATTTCTTGGAATTTTGCATTTTTATCTGCTTTATCCGATTGTATTTCTAGCGCTCTTAATGACTGTTCAGTTAATTCAAATTGATTTTGTAATTGTTTTGCTAACTTTATCATTCCTTCGAGTGCCACTTTTGATTGTGTAACATTTTCGCCCAATGCATTATATAAATGTTTTAAAGCATCAATTCTTTGACTTAAATGTTTTGGATCTTTTGTAAATTTATCTTCACATACTTTACGACCAGTTTTTATTGTTGTCTCAATATCACTTTTAATTTCTGATAATGTACGATAAGTTTTTAAACAATGTGAATATTGATCATGAACTGATGATGGACCAGCTGAAGCAACATCTAGTACCAAAGTTGTTCTTTCAACATTACGTAATTCAGCTAAAGCACGACTTAATCGGGATTCGTAAGCAGCTTGTGGTGCTGTACATTTATTCATTTTCATTTGACAATTCTTGAAACGGGATTCAAGTAAAGCATATTGTTCACGCAAACGATTTGCGGCTTCTGTTTTACCTTTTTTCATATAATGTTGAATTAATTCACGTACTTCGTGAAGTGTTTTCTCACAATCTCTGAATTCTTCAGCAAGCCGCTATATAAAAATTAGAAAATTAAAGAATTATTTAATCATTCTTATTTGATTTAAAATTTTAATATAAACAAAAACATATTTCTCGTTTTTTGGAAGCACATTGTATTAAAAACTTAAAACAATCATGTCCTTACCTTGACTTATACGACTTTGACTTAATAAAAATTTTTTAAAATTTAAAAGAAAGTTGAGATATCAAGCCACTAGAATTATTCTCATGGAATAAATTAATTAATTAAGTAATTTAGCTCATATAACCTTCTACCTTAACAAGCAAATTTAAACCATAAATGGGACCGGAATGAATCTTATAAACACAAAACTAAATTTCCGAAAGTAGTTTTAATTTTTAATAGAATAAAAATTATAAAGGAAATAAATTAAATAAATACTCAAAATAAAAAAAAAATTAGGCCAGATATTTGTCTGTGCCTCATCTGACCATTTATGTGTCCATCCTTGTCAAGGGGAGTGCTAAACTGCTCTCCTTTCAAAACGACACAAATTAACTTCAAAATTCTTTGGATATATACGGATATAAAATTATTTTTATATATGTGAGTTATAATTTCAAAACAAATTTTTAACTTATTATTAAAAACAGAAAATTTCATGTGTCTGCAATATTATTTAGAAATTCTAATCAAATTCACGAACCATTTTCATAAAAATTAATTTCTTATTGTGGTGGAATTTTATATGGTTCGTGACTTCGATAAATAACTCAATGAAATCAAATGATTGAAACATTTGCTAAAAATCATATTTTTCTGGTTGCAGTATTTACTGAAATTAAGTACACAATCTTCAGACACGAAACAATTCAAATTTAGCAAAATTACGGTAAGCATTACCATATTGAAAGATTTTTAAATGTTTTGCTAAATTTAAAATAAAAATTTTTTTACTAGGAATAGTGACGCAGCGGCGATCTAAAAAATATATAAAATAATTTATATTTAACATACCTAGTTCAAATAAATTGATAATTCCTATGTACATATAATTTTAGTACAAAATATACAAATTTTATAACACTATAGAATTTCATAACACTTATAATTAAAATGGAAATTCTGAAGGACATGCAATAAAATTTAAGCAAATAGATTCAGAGGAAAATTATGTGCAGAATGAATGCTGAGAGCTAAATATATTTATGAATGTATGTATGTATAATATAATATAGAACATGCTAAATAACAAATCCTTGGAATATCCTTTTTAAGATTAAACATTTGAATAACATAATATTATATTACTACGTACAACAGTAAGGAGTAGGAAAACCGGATCGAATAAATTATAATTTTGAAAATATATTATACATGTTTGTATGTATATACACAAACACTACTTGAAATTGTAAATTTTTTAATAATTTACATTTAATTTAAAAAACGTTACTAAATTAAACAATTTGATTTAATTTAATTATTTAAAGGCTTTAAATTTTTATAAAATTAAATCTTTTAATAAAGTTTTAATAAAAGTCCTGAATTCGTACTTAATATGTTAAACTTCCCGAAAAAGGAACGATTTTTTTAACATTTTCAAAAATTTTACTTAATTATTCATATTGCTCGCAAATTGATACTTGTTGTATTAATTAAATTAATACTTATAGTAGTATCTATAACATTTAAATATAAAATAAAAACTGCACCTACACATAGTTAAATACGTCGAAAACAAAAACAACAAGAACAACATAAGAAAAAATTAGAAATAAAAACTCACCTGAAAATCGTGCGGTAAATCTTCAATTGTAACATCATTTTCTAAATGTTCGCTTAATATTTCATCGACGCGACTTAACCATTTTTCTAATTTAGAAACACATTCTTCGGATCTTTCAGCCTCGGTGACTTCCAGCTCCAATATTTCTGTACGTTTTTTAGCCTATTCCAAATTTTCAATAAGGTATTTAATTTTTTTTTCGAAGAACATTTGTTTGAAATCGATTAATTCGTTTGATTCCGTAGTTTTTTTTTTTTTTTTTGTGATGATCGGATTTACAGATTTTGGATTTTTATATTTTAAGTGAATTTTTAATAATTTTGATTTTTATACACATGAATAATGAAATGGTGCAAAATAAAAAAAATGTAAAATAAAAGAAATTTGAAAATAGAGTAAAAAAAGAAAAATGTTGAAAAAAGGCAAAATGATGAACAAAATTTAAGAGGCGAAATAGATAATATGAATGTATGAATAAGAGTATGATTACGATAAAAAAAAGGATAATAATTATATGCATGTGTGCGTGTTTAAATTAATTTTTATGCAAAAAGTGGATATATGACATGAATTTTAATTAAAAAAAAAAGAAAAAAAGAAAAAAAAATTAAGGTAAGTAAAAATAAATCATGCATTAATAAAAATCTTATACTCGTAAGTACAATCAATTATATAACATGTACGCATATTCATTTATATTATTAATCATAATTATAAAATATAAATATAATATACTTATATACATATATATATTATATTATAGAATTTTTTTTAAACATACAAAATATTTATCGTGTTAGTTACATAAAAAATAATAAAAAATAAAATTTATACAAATAAAAATTAAACGCATAGAAAATTTTCCTCACCTTATGTTCTAATTGATTCCATCTATCTACTAAATTATTAACTTCTTCTTCAATTGTATCCTTCATAAATTGTAATTCAGATAGTTCAGCACCAATTTCTTGAATTTTTTCTAATCTTTCATCTGAATGATTACGTATATTATTCTCTAAGTCATCTAATTCTTCAATAATTTCTTCGGCATCAGCTGCATTTTCAGGACTTTCACGTAATTTTTTCTCTAATTTATCTAAATAACCAGTTTCACTAGCTATCAATTTTTTAAATTCACCCAATTGATTTGACATATGCTCCAATACTGCTGTTCTATTATATACCAATGCTGTAACATCATTCCAACGTGCATTTAAACGTGTAAATTTTCTTGCCAAATATGTATATTTTTGATCTTTTGATTTTGGTATTAATTCATCGATTTGTAATAATAGATCACTACCAATTTCATTTAATTCACAAAAATTTATTGTTTCCTTTTCACACATTTCTTTTAATCCTTGAAATTTTGATTTTATTTGAAATAATTCATTAGAATTTAATATTTCTTCATTTTTATTTTTTGGTGTATTCTTTTCTAAATCATTCAACCAGGATTCAGTTTTATTAACTTTATTTAAAATGTCTTCAGTTTTTTGTAAAATATCATTTAATTTTTTTAAATTATCTTGATGTAAATTATTTAATTTTACGTAATAATCATCTAAATTTTTTATTAAGATTTTTAGTTCATTATGATATTCAATATCAGCAGTTTGTGTTATTAATTCACTGAAATTCTTTATACTTATTACATCAACATGAATTTTTTTCAATTCATTTGCATATTCTTCATACGAAATACTCTGCTTTTGTAACATTTTCAATTCACCGATGACAAATTGATTAGACTTTAATGATGTTTCCATTTTTTGTAAAATTTTCATAATATTTTGATATTCATTATTGAAATGATTTAAATTTTCAATAGCAGTATTCTGTTTAATTATACGTTCATTAATACAATCAGGTAATTTAGCCCATACATCAATAAAATCTTTAATTGAATTTGGATCGATTTGATCAAGAATATATTCAAATTCTGGTTGTAAATTTAATCGTCTTACTTTAAATTTATTTAATTTATCAAGATTTGAATTCATTTTGGATAAATCGCTAACATAAACTTTTAAATCATCAATTTCAGCAACAAACTCTTGCAACAAAAATAATTTTTCATTAGTTTCTTCTGAACCACCTTTCTCTTGTATTAATCTTGAAATTGCTTTTTTCATATCCATCCAACTATCATAAAATATATTGAAATCATCTTTCCATTCTTTTAAATCATCAGTTAAATTTGCTGTAGCTGCTTTAGCTTCAGAAATTTCTTTCGATAATGAATTCATATCACTTAAACGTGTCTCCAATTCATGTTTTGTCGCTGTATTCGCATGCTGTTGATACCAATCTCTTGAATCTGCTAAAACTAATTTAAAACCAGTTAAACTTTTATAAAATTTATCACGGGAAATCATGTGTTGTGTATCAATCCTTTGATGATCTAATTTTCTTAGTACACTATCGTAACGGTCAGCGATTTGTTTAACTTGTGATTCTTCTAAACTTAAATTATGACCGCTCATATCTGCTTCAACAACACAATGTGTTAACAGTTCTTTTAAATCTCTTACTAAGCTATCTCTTTCTTTAATATCACGTTCAACATTTTCTAACGCTTCATTTTGATTTCTCAAACTGTGATGTTTAATATTGTTTAGTCGAACTTCCAAATTTTCTAAATAATTAAATGATTCAAGAATTTTACCCTCAAGTAAATACATTTTTTCGGTTTTATGTAATTTTCTTTTTTTATTCGACTGTGGTGACAATTCTGTATCATCAGAGCTTTCTCCAAATTTAATAATCATTTGATAGTCAATCCAGGAACCAGGACGTTCAATACGACGTTCTTCAGTTTTTTGTGGAAATTTGAAACCCATTTCTTCAATCCGTACAATTTGCACTTCAACCAAATGTTTAAGAGCATCAAGACGATCTTCTAAACCTTCAAGCTGTTGTAAAACATTTTGAGTTTGTTGTCCTTCTTGCATTGATGTTTCAACCATTTGTCTTAGATCTTGAAGATACCGTTCAACCTCTTCCAAATCGGATTGACAATAGCGTAAGTCATTCATACGTCTTGTTATCGTGCCCAATTCTTGAAGTTCTACTGTTTCCATTGTTTTAAGATCATGTTCCCGAGCGTCTAACCATTTTGTTATAATTTTATATTGATGAAGTTTTTCAGCGCGTGTTTCATTCCATTTAATGACATGAGCCCATCTTTCACCTAACGCTGATAATTTATCTTCAAGGTCACTAAAATTGCCTAAAATGAACAATTTTTAATTAAAAAAATTTATTGAAATATAATTAAATTAATTTATACTAACCTGATTCATCATTTATAATAACAACCATATTACTTAAACTATCAACAAGACCTTGTTGTTCTTTTAAATCATTCCTCAATTGATCTAAGTCTTTTTGCTGTTTGTCTAAATCATTTAACGTTGGACCAATATCTGACATACGAGATATTCTATCTTCAGCATTAGAAAGAAACAAACGTAATTTTTCAATTTGCTCAGTCTGAAATTCAGCTAGTCTAGCTAAAATTTTCGATTGAACGTCAAGTGCACGAAGTCTTAAAGTTTCCCATCGTTCATTTAACAATACCATCTGCTGTCGTATTTCATTTTGATCTTCCGCTGACAATCCAGAGGTTCTTTGGGATTCACTTATTAAACTGGAACCCTCTTCCAATGCTTCACCTACAAATTGTTGGTGTTCAGTTAATTTGAGCATAAAATCTTCATTATCGTGAAATTGTTCTTTTGCTGTAGCAAAATTTATTGGATCTGGGATATCTTTCGATAGAGTTTCTTCATCTTCTAAAAGTAAAGCTAGTACAGCTTCTAGAGCTGTTTGATAATTATTGATTTCTATAGAAGCGTTTGTTGCAGTTGACAAAGGACGTGATATACGTTTCGTGTTATCGTTTACACCAAGTAAATCTGGTATTTTCGGATCATCTATACTAACATCCATTAATTGTAACGTATTATCACCCTTTGCAATAGTAAATGTTGAACTTCTTGTCAGACTCAATGGTGAATCGCCACTTACTGTTGTAACAATAACATTACTACTACCCAGTGAAATTTCTTCTAAATCTGAAGCATCACCTGGATGTATAATTTCTAATTTCAAATTCTTATCTCGTACACTTTTATTTTGAATATTTCCATCTGGTTGTTCAGTAGCTCTATTATTATTCTGATGATTATTCCTATTACTATTATTTTCATTTTCTAACGATGAATCTAATTTTATAATATCTTCTACACTTACACTATGCTCAACCGTTAAATTTGTTTCTATTTGTGAAATCATTTTTTTATTTTCATCATTTTCATCTCTACTACTATTACTTCCACCATATTCATCTGGTTTCTTAACATTACCAATTGAATGATATAAACACATTACATACATTAAAATTGATTTTTTATCTGGTTTACTTGTATTTACATCTTCCGGATCCAGTAGTTTTTCAATATTTAAATATTTATGTGCTAAATCGAATGCTAATTTTAATCTTGCATTTGGATGCCTTTTCAAACTAGCTTGTAAATCTACTTGTGCTGGTATGCTACTATTTAATATATATAAAAATGCACGACCGTCAGACCAACTTGATGAAAAATCATTAATTTTTAAACCATTCGGTTCAGTAAATTGATTAACCCAGGAAAGTAATGATTTTTCAACACCATTACTTGCCTGTGAACTGACTAGATTTTGTCCATTAAATGCTAAAGCTATTAGCCATATTAAACCTAATGTTAATTTTGGATTTCCTTCACAGATATCATCACTTGATATATTTACTAAACGTATACCATGTTCTTGTATTACTTGAAGACATTTATTCAAATTATTAATATGATGGACTCGCATACGACCTTTTTCTGGTTTTAATTGGCTATTTGTTAATGTACCAAGTAATACAAGTAAACGATGCCCATCACGTAAATCTTGAAATAAATCTTTAACTAATGGTGTTTTTGTTTTTGTTAATTGTGAATTAATCCATTTTGTAAAGGTTTTCTTCTGTATATCCTGACGTTCATCTGAAATTGGAAAAAAATAAAAAAAGTGTTTTAATTCGAAACTATTTACACTAAAATTTATATAGAGCATGATTATATTTTTGTGTAATGTTGAATTTTTTTTTTTCAAATATTTACTAATCAAAAATTAATTGAGCAAGAAGGCGCAAGCAAGTTTGTATCGTAAATGATTTCTTAAACATTCAAAAAATTATAACTCACAAGTAAAAAACGAAAATTTTTGTTTTCGGGGAATCAATATGATTACTTATACATACATACATAACTAGACATTATTCCGATTTAAACAAGACACTATTGAGTGAATTCATGGCATTAATTGCATTATTTCTTTTAATCGTTAAATAACAACAAAAAAATTATTAAATCGAATGTGGTAATTTATATTTTTATTCTAAATTCACATTCTTCAAATCTCTTTTCAGTTCAGTCTATGTTTTATTTAATCCAAAAAGCTTATGAATTGCAAATGCGGGATTGTTTATTAATAAGTAGTTAGTTAATGTGATTTTGAATTTGGAGACTTTTTACAAATATAACAAAGATTCTCTGTTAATTTTCTTCAATAAACCAAGAATGCCTGTTTCATGACAAAATGTTTATTCTTTTTAAATTTTAATCATATGGAAACAAAATTGACATAAAAAGGCAATCTAGGTATTCGTAAAAACATTGCTGTATTTAAGACACATCAATTCTCAAATTTGTACAAATAATATAAAACTGCACATCTGTTCGTTCGTAAAATAAAACGAATATGTACATATTTTTAATAATTTATCAAAAAGTATTTGACTATGCATAAGTACATATGTACATGCATATACACATATAGATATACATATACATATGCTTATAAAACAATGAACTCTTAAAGATTTTTCTTACCAAATTCTTCAAGAGAAAATTCATTCTTTTACTCACCCTCTGATATTGGCCTTAAAAATAATTTTACAACTTCGATTTCTGACGGCATAATCGTGTTAAATTTTAAAATACATACATATACTTTTTTTATGCACCGAATTATTATGTACTTAAGCATATATGAAAATGCTCATACATGTATAGATACATATATACTAATTATAACAATGTAGAATTACATTGTATATATTTTCTATTTTTATTAAGCGTTTAATTTGAAATAAAGTAAGTTTCGTGTGATCAGATCTTAATTTGACACTTTGTGTTAAGTAAGTATGTACATAATATAAAAATGTCGTTGAAACGATATGACAAAAATAGCACAACACCATCTATGTATATGAGAAATATTGACACGATACACAAATAATACGAATGTTACGGTTTAATCTTTTCACGCCCTTTCATCCCCGTTTTTTCATACAAAATTTTGAAATTTTTTTTTTTAGAAATTTTTAATACAATATAAGACTCGAATTAGGCAATAATTGAATCGGTTTATTAGAAATTCTTATAATAAAAATAATTTAAGCAAAAATGATAAAACTGTGTTGTAAACGAAAATTTTTTTTTGTAAAATATTGGGGGAAAATAAAATTTAAGAACTTAAAACCACATATGGAAATAAAATTGAAGATTTTTGTTGTCCCTAGTTAAGTTTTTCCATAACAAAAAAAAATTAATTTTTTTTTTTGGTAATCTTCCTGACAAAAACAAAAAAAAAGACAAAGCGACAACCGAGATGTAGATCTCATTAAAAACAAAAAACTTAATAAATTTTTATTCCTATTTTTGTTTTTTTTTTGTAAACAATTTATTGTGTCAAAAAGATCAAGAAAGAGTTGAAAACGCAAAAAAAAAGCAAAAAATTTAAACAATAAAATAATAATTTTTATTTTAAATGCACTTAAAAAGTTTTTTAATAGAGGCGGGCTACATAAGCCACCGGATAAATGACAACTGAGTTGCAAAGTAATAAAAAAAAACTATGAATTGTACCAGTTATGAGATCATGACCAACAAAAACAAGCTGAGAGAAAGATACAATATATGTACTTACATAGTTATTTATTACAAGTTGCTAACCGATATATACCGATATTAAGGGAGAGCAACTGAATATTTAACTTTTCCAGCATCTTCTCTCGTCACATTTAAGTAAGTATACATACATATAAGTATATATAACGTATGTAAGTATTCTATACTTAATTAACAAATTAAATTAAAAAAACATAAAAACTATAAAGTGATTGAATTTTTCTTAGCCTTATAGGGCACCCATTTCAATAATCAAACAATTTCGGCACAATTAAAATGTTATGGTTCATAATTTAAGAATAAATAAAAGCAAAAATCTGGGATGTAAAGGGTCGGAATATGAAGGCTTTTCTCATTGCGAGTATTAATAACTTTTCATTTTTCATCGAGTCGAAAAGCTAGTTTACAATCACAAAATATTTGGAATCGATTCTGCAGTCTAGATTTTCGTAAGTATACTTCATTCGAAATATTGGTAAAACTTTACTTGTATGAAAATAATGTTTCTTATTACTTACTAGTATCATTCAAAAAATACCTACAGGAATAAATAATTGCTCCAAATGGAATATAATATTTATAATACCTTTTTAATGTAGCTTATTTTATATAAGAGCAAAAATTGAATTGAAACTTATGAAGTAGGTAATTTTAATACATGTGTATATATACATATGTATATTTATAACAATAAAAATAAAGAGTTACAAAAGATGTTAATTAAATTTAGATGCATTTCTTATAGTTTACATTTTTATATACTTAAGTCGTATGATAGTATACAAGTAACTACTAATTTATACAATCTGTGTATAAGTATAAATTTATATTAGAATTATATTGTGCATTACAGTTAAATTATGAGAAAATGTGGCGATAAATGTGGTATGAAAATCCCATTGTGGCAATAAAATGGTTTTTGGCATAAATTGGCTATAATACCTTTCATACAATTTCTTTTTGATTTTTTTGGCCGAAATTTAATATAATTCAATGGCTTATTTCCACTACAATTTCTCTTACAATTTAGTATAACAATAACAGCATCAGCTATAATTTTCAGTAATCTTCAGTACTTATTCACTCTGTTAATTCAGGACTATGGGCAACTGATTATATTACGCAAAATGTATGTGTATTGTAAGTACTGGTATTTACGTAAATGTAAATGTACCGATTGAGTACTGATATTCTAATAATCTGTCAGCATATATTCAAACTTATTTAGACAAACTAATTATTCATAAGTCGTATAATGTATATGAATATGCATAGGAGACAAGTTTTATTTCAAATTTAATAACGGACAGACAAGTTTTATATATTTTAAACTTAATTATAATGCATCGAAAGACGACATTCATGGTATATTACTGGAATATCTGAATGTTACATATTGATGTAAAAATTAAGATTAATTATCACCGTATACTAAAATAGTAAGTAAAAGAGGAAAAGTATTTATATATACACATAATTATTTGGTATGCTTGTATTTTAAATTATCTTAAAATAAAAATTTCAAAAATAATATAAGAATTCTACTTAGATTTAATTTCAAAAATTTTTCAGTTTCAGTACTCAATAAGCTTTTCTAAAATGTTGCATATTTATTACAAAATGATTAATCAAAATACGTGCATATCTAATATAAAAGTTTTAAGTTCAAACGTGATTAATGGACGAAAAATCAAAAATTTCCATTTAATATTTAATTAATTATAATTTTGCTTTTTGTAAATATTGTGAAATTTAAATTATGGTAGCAGATTAAAATAAAATGATATCTAATTTTTTATAATAGATTAAATTTTACCAAATATAGCGATAAGGAAAAACTGGCAATAAAAATCATTTATTACTAAGTACTTACATAATCAAGTAAATAAGTATACACGAGTATGTGTATAAAATATTTCTAACATTACTTATACTTAGGGGTACCTTTTGTTTTATTTACTTTTGACGACTTTTATTTATACTTAAAATAGTGATTCTGATAATTTTACGCATGCTTTATTAAAAATTTAACTTCTAAAATTAATTTTTCATACGTTCACTCAAACATATTTATTAAAATATTTCAAGCCGGTTCTTATTTTAAAGGTACTGAAAATGAAAAATTCATTTTATAAATTTAATCGCTATTAAAAATTCATATAAAATTCAGCTTACTTATTAGTCGATGCTCTGGAAATTTTTCAGTGCGTACATATTTAAAAACTATTTGAAAAACCATGGAAATGCTTTAAAATTTTTAAAAAAGTAATTATTTAAATTTAAATTTTAACTTAAAACTTCTAACAAAATAGAAAACATATTGAATAAAACTTGTAAATGACTTAAAATTGAAAATTTGAAAATTTTCGTTGTAAAAAAAAATTTCTTCTACAAAGCGAATTTATTTTATGTTTCGCACATTATTGTGCAATACAAGGAATTAGATATTAGTTTATATAAAAACTCATACTATATACATATATATCCATATAGAAATTACTTATTTTAAATTTTTTATTCAATTGCCTGGCAGTTACAATTTTTAAAATCAAATCAATGTAAAAACGCTTAATAAACAAATATAAGCAACAAACTTTATTCTCACTAAAAGAAAAACATTTAATTAAATATGTACATATGTATGTATGTATATTTTTTTACACTAATGGTAAATGTAACTGAAGTGAAGCTGCAACATTTTGAGTATTAAAGAGTTGTAACAACTTAAATTTACGAACACACATGACCGCACATACTTGTGTTAAGAAAAACTCTTATAAGAAAAATCAATTAAATTAAGTAGTAATTTAATAAAAATCGTATTTAAACATAAATTTAGAGTTTACGTATAAAAAAAAATATATGTACACAAAATGACAAAAATATTTTTTTTTCTGTTAATTTATAAACCTTTATTTTTAATACTCTTTCAATAAATTTCATTGAAATTTATGTTTATGCAGCGTTTACCAGTGATTAAAAACAAAAAAACAGAAGAATTTTCTTTTCTTGTTCAATAAAATTTGCTTTTT